ACCTCGTTCCCCTGCCCCAGATTCGCCCACCCAGGAGCGGGAGGAGCTGTTTATCCAGAAGCTACGCCAGTGCTGCGTCCTCTTTGACTTTGTCTCAGATCCGCTCAGTGACCTCAAATTCAAGGAGGTGAAGCGGGCAGGACTCAACGAAATGGTGGAGTACATCACTCATAGCCGCGATGTCGTCACTGAGGCCATTTACCCCGAGGCGGTCACCATGGTGGGCACTGGGCAAAGGGGAGAGTGGGCAGGGACAGCGGCTGCGGAGAAGCCTGGACGGGAGCTCTCACCTGGGTCCTACCCCTCAGTTTTCAGTGAACCTCTTCCGGACGCTGCCACCTTCATCGAACCCCACCGGGGCCGAGTTTGACCCGGAAGAGGATGAGCCCACCCTGGAAGCTGCCTGGCCGCATCTGCAGGTATCAGGGTGAGGGGGCAGGCTGGCCCTGGCTGCAGGGACTGGGGCGCTCGGAGGCCTGCAGCCAGGGTGGGGGGATCTCCCAGTCCTTGGGGAACGCCCCCTAAGCGGATGCTCATTGCCCCCGACAGCTCGTGTATGAGTTCTTCTTACGTTTCCTTGAGTCTCCTGATTTCCAGCCAAACATAGCCAAGAAGTATATCGACCAGAAGTTTGTCCTTGCTGTGAGTCCTTGAAGTTCCCATCCTGCCCTCCTTCCAGTCCATGAACTCTAGCCCCATGGCCCCTCGCTGCAGGCCCCGCTCTTTCTGCATCTGCTGAATATGTGGGCTTTCAACTGGGTCTGGTACAAAGGGACTGGTGGTGGTGGGAGGGATAAACAAACCTCTCTGCTCTCAAGAAGCTTCTGGTGTAATTGAAGGAAATAAGCAACAGTTACCTGTTCCCCGGCAGTGGGGCATGTAAACATGCGTACCCAGACATCACCCTGGGGAGAGCTGTGTGAGAACAGCACTCTGCTTTCCAGAGATTTGTCCCCACACGCCCCATCCAGAGAATCTCTGGGTGTCCTCTGGCTAGGACCCTGTGTCACCCCAGCCCTGGCCCTCCCTGGCTCCTGCCTCACTCACCAGCTTTCCCCTCGCCGGCTCCCAGCTCTTGGACCTATTTGACAGTGAGGATCCTCGAGAGCGGGACTTCCTCAAGACCATCTTGCATCGCATCTATGGCAAGTTTTTGGGGCTCCGGGCTTATATCCGTAGGCAGATCAACCACATCTTCTACAGGTGAGGCCAGGAGCCAGGCTTAGGAGCAAAGCAAGCCCTGCTAAGTTGGGGTGGGAGCAGGGGGATAGGGGTACTCTGCAGAGTGCTGCAGGGACATCAGGGATTGTCAGGAGAGCCTTTCTTTCTTCCTGCAGATTCATCTATGAGACAGAACATCACAACGGGATTGCCGAGCTCCTAGAGATCCTTGGCAGGTGAGAGATGGGGTGGGGGCATGCGTGCCTGTAGAAGGCTGGAGGCATTGGAGCACTGAACTTGGACGTGGCCCTTTGGTCCTAACAAACCTCCTGTAACTCCTAGCATCATCAACGGCTTTGCCTTGCCCCTTAAGGAAGAGCACAAGATGTTCCTCATCCGTGTCCTGCTTCCCCTTCACAAGGTCAAGTCCCTGAGTGTCTACCACCCTCAGGTGAGCTGTCTTCCTCCTGACGATCCCTGACTCTGGCAGCAGAGAAAAGAGAGGGAGGGGAAGGTATTCCAGCAGGGATGGGGGTGGCAGAAGGAGTGGGTGGGATAATTCCTCTTTATACCTCTTCTTCCATTCTGGGCTCTTGCTTCTGTCCCTGACCCCTCTGAGACCTGGGCCCTGCACCTCACCTCCTTTCTCCCTCAACCTTTTGCAGCTGGCTTACTGTGTGGTACAGTTCCTGGAGAAGGAGAGCAGCCTCACAGAGCCGGTAATTCCCCTCTCCAGCCCCAGGACACCTCTTCTTGTCAGTTAGACTCGCCAGTCTGCCTATTGAGGAATGCCATAAGCAGGGGCTCAGGAGGGGTGTGGCCCAACAGGTGACATGCTTTCCTCTCTGAAGGAGGAGTACAACCTATATATACCTAGGAAACAGATCCAGGTCAGAGAAATGTGAGCAGTTGGGGGGGGGGGGGGCGGCGCCCAAGCTGTGCCCACCAGGGTGGGGAGAGAGTGCAGGAAGACTTCCGGCGGAAGCAGGCAGGTATTAAGGGAGAATTTTATCCCCATGTCCTCCTCTTCTCACAGGTGATTGTAGGACTTCTCAAGTTCTGGCCCAAGACCCACAGCCCCAAGGAAGTCATGTTCCTGAATGAGCTAGAGGAGATTCTGGATGTCATTGAACCTTCAGAGTTCAGCAAAGTGATGGAACCACTCTTCCGTCAGCTTGCCAAGTGTGTCTCCAGCCCCCATTTCCAGGTGAGACTCAGACCAGCACATCCCCATCCCCTGCCTTCCAGAAGCCAAGGGAGGGTTTTCAGCAGAGCAAACCGGATCCCTGCTGAGTCCCACCTGTCCCCACCAGGTGGCAGAGCGTGCCCTCTATTACTGGAACAATGAGTACATCATGAGCCTGATAAGTGACAATGCTGCCCGAGTCCTCCCCATCATGTTCCCCGCCCTCTACAGGAACTCCAAGAGCCACTGGAACAAGTACGGGGCTGGGGCAGGGCTGGGCAGTGGGGCTCTGGTTTTGGAGCCTGTGTGGGTGGGGAAAAACTGAAGAGCCAGTGGCCTCATCTGGCCACCGAGCAGGGGGTCTTGTGCCCACTGCATGCTGATAGGCCCTTGAGGACCTGCCCAGGGAGAAGACAGCTATGTGAGAGAGGGCTGCCATATAGCAGAGCAGGGCTTGTGTCCTCTCTTCTTACGGTCAGATAGTCTGCGGCTTTGGAGACCTAATTCCGTGCTCTGGAGAGGCTGATGTGATCTTTTTAGCATGTGCTGAACCCCAGTGTTGTAGAGGCTTTCCTGCTGAAGGCAAGTGCACTGTGCTGCAGATGCCGTCCATCCTGCTGCTGGCAGGCCGGTAGCATAGCCAGAGAGCAGAAGTGGTGGGAAGAAGGTAGGTCTGGAGCATGGGGTGAGGCGAAGGATGGACAGGCAGACTAACAGCTATGAAGACCCTGAAAGGCCGGTCTGCAGTCACATGATCTGGCTAGAGAGAGATGCTTATACTGCAGAGGTCTGTGAAAACTCTTAGCAGACACCCCTCCTAGGAAAGAGCAAACTGGGGTCCTGGCACTGCCCTTGGTGTCGGTAAGGCCTCCTACAGCCGATCCTTCTTCCCGGCGGCAGGACAATCCATGGACTGATCTACAATGCCCTGAAGCTGTTTATGGAGATGAATCAGAAGCTATTTGATGACTGCACACAACAGTACAAGGCAGAGAAACAGAAGTGAGTGTCTCTCTACCTGGGGGCTTCCATCTTCATCCCCGGGCCCTTTTGCTTCTCTCTCAAGCCCACCCCCCCATCCCGTCCTTGCTCTCTCAGGGGCCGGTTCCGAATGAAGGAAAGAGAAGAGATGTGGCAAAAGATAGAGGAGCTGGCCCGACTTAATCCCCAGGTGAGGTTTTGCTGCCACCGCCCTCAACCAGGGGCCCAGTTTGGCTGAGGGAGGGTTTGTTTGAGCAGGAACATGAAGCAGACAGGCCCACCAACTTCTGAAGTGGCTCTCACCACCTGCCCATGCCTCTCCTTTCCTTATCAGTACCCCATGTTTCGAGCTCCTCCACCACTGCCTCCTGTATACTCGATGGAGACGGAGACCCCCACGGCAGAGGACATCCAGCTTCTGAAGAGGACGGTGGAGACAGAGGCCGTGCAGGTGGGAAGGCACCGAGGGATGGGGAGCAGAAATAAAAGCTCTGGAAGGGAGAGGAGACAGGAGCCCAGGAACAAGGGGAGGAAACCATAGAATCTGTTGGGAATTGGTCAGCATCCCTCACCTTCTCTTTACCCACACACAGATGCTAAAGGACATCAAGAAGGAGAAGGTGCTGCTTCGGCGGAAGTCAGAGCTGCCCCAGGACGTGTACACCATCAAGGCGCTGGAGGCACACAAGCGGGCGGAGGAATTCCTAACTGCCAGCCAGGAGGCTCTCTGACCCCCTCACCGTCCTACTACAGGGCCACGGCCCACTCAGCCCTGGGACGCTGCCCTAGCCCTCCACCCTCTGCTCCCCACTGGCTGACTTGGGGCAAGGCAGTGCCTCTCTAGCTACTCTAGGGAGGGGATGTGGCACTTGAAGCGGGGACCCTCACACAGTGGTCCCTCTTCTCCCCCAAATGTGTTCATGCCTCCCTGTGGCTAGTACAGACAGGCTGAGCACTGAGATCCTCAGTACTCAGACAACTTGGGGATGCCTGTCTCCCTCCTGCTCCCAACCCCACAGCTACCTGAGGCTGCTCTGAGAAATACACACAGGAATACATATGCTCCTCTCCCCTTCCCTTCACCCTCATTTGAACTCCAGGTGTCTCTCCTTCTCTCCCTCCCCTGCAGAAGCATATAGGGAGCAGTAGGAGGTTACTCTCACCAAAGTTATGTCAAGCCCCATTGGCCCCTGGAGTAGCTGGAGGGGAGCCAACCCCCAACAGGCACAAATAGGCCCCCGGCCCCAGTAGTGTGCAGGCTGATGGGGTTGAATTACTTTCTTTTACCCCCTGCCTGACCAAGACAACATGGGAGGTCAAAAGGAGAAAAGCATAGGCTATGGACCATAGGTGATGAATATAGGGCCCAGATGGACCAAGAGAAGGGGGTGAACAAACACCCTACCCTGTGCCCCCTCTATGGTGAGCAGCAGCCCTGGGATTACAGACATGGAAGGGACCACCCTGGGGTTGACTGCTTTCCTGTGCTGTTGGTTCCCAAAGCTAGGAGGAAGCAGGGAGCAGTGCCCCAAGCATGGCTCCCCGAACACCTATTTATTTCCTTGTTTATGCTGATGATGGGCAGGCCCCCACTTGTCCCTTTCGGACACCTTGGAGGGGCAAGGGGCTGAGGAGGGCCAGACCCAGGTCCCAGGGGCCCAGGCAGTGCAGCTTTTGGCTGTGTACATAGGGTGCTTTATTCTCCACAGAGTGATACATGCTAAGATGGGTTGGGCTTGGGCCGATGTCCCCATATGTACAGAACTGAATAAAGTGGGTCTCTGAGAAGAAGTCTGATTTGCCTTGATGTGGAAAGGGAGATGAGAAAGATGGAGATGGACGTTACAACCACGGCTATGTTCAGTCCTGTGCTGGTTCTGGCCTGGAATGCAGGGAGATAAGGCAGCTCTCAGGCTAGTTACTTCCAGGCTGGGGTACCCTGCCGGGCCTGAAGGGCCTTCTGTACCACATCTTCCCACTGGGCATCTGATATCTCCCGAGCCCAGGCAGGAACCCCTGGCGCAGGCAGGCTTACTCCAGCCATCGTCCTTTTCACCAGCTCCACGTGTTCTGAAATCACAGAGAACAGGGGATAGAAACTGCGGGACCAGCTTTGCTCCCATAACCCTTGAATGAGGGGCTGAAGGTGGACCTAATTTCCTTGAATTAACCCATAACCCTTGGGCTAGGAGGGTGACCAAATCCATCTTGTTATTTCCAGGCAAGCCTGCCCATCACCCAAGTCTAGCACAATAGCATTTCACCTGGATTTTTAAGTGTGTAAAATCTTAGAATACAAACTGTTGTTTTAGGAACAGGGTGTTCCTCCGTGACTCCCCTTTACTGGGTCTGACCAGTCCCTTTCCTCCATCATTATTCCAGAATGAAAAAATGCTCTCTTTACCCGGGTCCATGGGAATAGAGCTGTGATTGCTCAATCCTGTAGCTCCCTCCTCCTCTTCATCCTCGCTCTCTAATGGTGGGTCTGGCAAATGAAGCCCCAGGGCCTGCAGAGCCAGAGAAGACAGTTCAGGGCCAGCCCTTCAGGGATCCCAGCTTCACCTGGCCAGAACAGTGCCTCCTCCACCATACCTGGATCCGATCCTGAATATCAGCAACTACATCTTCTCCGTCCCCCACCGGTGCTAGCTCCACCTCCTCTTGTTCAGGATCTTGGTTCAGGGGCTGATAGGAGTAGCCAGCTGGGCCTGCCCCCGTTTCCTCCTGCTCTTCCTCAGGCTCCTCGCTGCTCCAATCCCCAGTGCCTTCCGTAGGGCCCTGGTGCGGCCCTAGCTCCTCAGTCTGATTGGGGAAGATACGCTCGGGGCCCATGGTGTCTCCCCCTAGAACTACTGCTGCCATCCGGGCAGGGGCTGCAAGGACAGAGAGGCAGGAGGACAGGGATCGGATGAAATTAGGTCCACCTTCAGCCCCTCATCCAGTTCCTTGTGGTCTCCTGGGTCCGCAAAACATTCAAACGCTCCCAAGCTTCCTGCACCCCACCCTCTCCTGGGCCCTCCACCTTTTAAATCGACTCATATCTTGAACCGAGGCCCACCCGACTTGCTCTGCCAATCCTTAAATAACAGCCCGAACGGAGTCCACGCCACCTCCCAAAAGACTACGTCCAGAACCCCGCCCTCTCCTACCCCCCGACTTGGGAACGCCGGGTCGCCAAACAAGCTCCCCTAGACAGGGAGCACCCACCCCCTTCTCCCCTCTCCAACGGGTCCCCTTCTGTACCGCCTGACAAACGCCCTTTAGGTCCCAGGGGCTCCCCTCAAATGGCCCCAGCTGCGGCGTCCGCCCCCCGCCCCCACCAATTCTCGGCGCCGGTGTTTCCGCGCGCCTCACCCGCTCGGAGCCCGCGGCTGAACCCACACCTTCACTTCCGGCGGGGCAGGACGTACTCGGGCGCCTGGTCCTCCCGCCCCGCCCCGTGCTCATGATTGACGCGAACGAGGACGAGCAGTACGCCCCTTGTCCCGCCTCCGCCATCCCCTGCCCAGACAACAAAGGACTACATTACCCAGTGACCCCCACGGGTTTTGACACACACACACACGCACACGCGCGCGCGCGCACACACACACACACACACACACGCACATGCGCACAATCTCCTTCAGCTCCTGCCCACTCCTCGGCCCCTCACGACTCTCCAGAAACCCGTGGACTACAAGTCCCGGTAGGCTTCGGGCACTTAGCTCTGACTGCACGTGCGCACACGGCTGCCCGCCGGAAGGACCGAGCCTGGCTGTGTTTATCTCGTTGGGGACCGAGGTGTCGGTTGGCGCGCAACGGGTTCTAGACTGCAGGCAGCGCGAGGACCCGCGGCCCCGCCCCGGCCCGGCCTGGCAGGTAGCCCGGGATGGGTTAAGGGACAAGGATAATTGGAGAGGCTGGGGTTGCCCATACCTGGATCTGGAGTCGTGGGGGAGGGGCCTGAGAGCGATGAGGTGGGGGTGGGGAGGGAACTAGGGGGATGATGGGAAAGGAAAGTGTTAATGGGGAAAGAAGGGCTGGGTTAGGATGGTGAGGAAACGGGTGGAGGGGACCTGGTGGTTGGCGGAGGCACTGAAGGGAATTGGAAGGAAGACTGGGCTATGAGGAGAAGGGGAAGCTGAGGAGAATGGAAGAAAAGGGGGGGGGAGGGTCTAGTATTGTGGGGGAGGGGAGGTTGGGATGACTGGAAGAAGACAGGGATAGCGTCATGTAGAGTGAGGACTATCCCTGGCCGAAAGGGGTCAGTGAATATTAGCTTTTTCTTCCTTAGTGGAAGAGGGAAAATGGAGGGCTGTTGGGGTGGATCTTGGTGCGGTGGGAGAAGGAAAAAGGAGAAAACTGCAAAGCTCTCAGGAGATCAAGAAGGGCCAGAAATGGGGAGTGAACATTGCAAGAGACCAGGGAGGGGGGTACGTACCTGAAGGGAATGGAAGAAGCTTGAGAATGCAGCAATGATGAAGGATCCAGGAGACCCAGAGATAAGCGGGGACCCTGAGATGGTGGGGGCTTTTCTCCATGAGTGTGAGTTGTCCTTGTGAAGAAGCTACGATTCTGTCCACCTTTGGATGGAATTACTTCTCTCTTCCCCTGTGAATTCTTTACTTTACCTTGACATAGTTGAAGGGGGGAGTAGAAGCTATGAGGGAAAATGAAAGACTCGAATTCCTAAACCCTTCAACCTCCTATCTCCCCGCAAGCCCAGATCCAAGATCTGTTGGATTGAGGACAGGAATAATGAAGTGAGAGTGGTTTCCTGCTGGGGCTATTTCAGGTTTGGCAGGCTGGCTATTTAAAGCATGGGATGGGGGGTTGAGGGAGGTTGAAGGGGGAGGGGGGTGGCAAGCCAGCTGAAAGCCATGTCTCTTTCTTTTGAAGGGCCTCCCTTGCTTTTTCTGTGTCTGAGGTTCTGTCAGACTCTTTCCTCTGCCAGGGCTTCTTGAACAGGGAGCAGATGATCCACTCAAACCCAGCAGGTGCCTGCCAGCGAAGGCAATACCAGTTGGAGGAGCATTTGTCTGACAGAGCCTTCAAGTGTACCCATTATCTCTAGGTTGGCAGGTCATGCCTGGGTCTATTTATTGTCCTGCCCTAGGGCGTTTTTTTTTTTTGTTTCCTTTTTCTCTCTTTTTTTTTTAAGATTTATGAGAGAGAGAGTGTGTGAGCATGAGTGGAGGGGCAGAGGGAGAGGGAGAAACAGACTCCCTGCTGAGTGGAGAGCCCACTCTCTATCCCAGGACCCCGAGATCATGACCTGAGCCAAAGGCAGATGCTTAACTGACTGAGCCACCCAGGCGCCCCTCCTTTCTCTTTTCTAATGCACCCCTACCCCATCCCCATTTCAGGGATCCAAGTGGGAAAAGAGCTGCTAAAATAGCTTGTTTATCCTTACAATAGCAGGGTTGGGGAAGTAGTAGGAGGGGAAAACCCCTCCTCTTCACTCCCACCCCCTCAGTCCCCAGCAGACACATACCTTTCCGGCTTGAGTTCCTAGTCTTGGCAGGATACCAGGCACAGCTGTCAAAGGAACTCTGAGTGCCTGTGGGGGGCCCTGGATGACCCTGATGACAACAGCTCAGCTTAACAGGAGCTCCCTATGAGGGGCTAACCATCCATGGATGTCCCTGCCCTGAATCAATCCCACCTTGTCCTGGATAGGGGGACTGTTTCACTCTAAAGACCTAAAAGCTTTTCTGCTTTGAAGCACCAATGCCAGCTTTCAATGGACCGATTGGGGTTGGCTGGGCTATTAATAGTCCTGAGTATTTTGAGATCCCTTTCCCCACCTTAAAGAGCAGAGATTCTTAGAGAGGTGGCAGTAAGCGGAGCAGAGCCGGAGAGACAAGAGAATGCACTGCCTTGGGAAGGAGGATGGGGGAGGGGGGGGGCGGGGGAGCACTTGGAGCTTGTGCCAGGCCAGGGACGCGATGGGGCCTCCATGAGTAAATGAGGATGACCATGCCAAGCCCTTGATCAGCAGATTCAGAGCTGTCAGTCAGGTCAGAGCGGCCCCACCCTTTGCTGTTGGAGAACACGGGGCCAGGGCAAACTCCCTGACCTCTGCCTCTCCCCTGGGCCACGGCCAGCCACCTGAACTTCGGAGGGGTGGTGTGGGAGGGCCACCAGGGTGACACTTGGAGTCACGGGCTGGTCCTGGGCAGAGTCACGGTGAGCCAGACAAAGGCCTTGCCTGAGGAGCCCGTGGCCCTAACTTGTGTGCAGGTAGCAGAAGCAGCAGGCCGTGCCGGGGGGGCATGTGGCTGTGACCAGTGACCCAGGGGATGTTACGGTGGACAGTGCACCTGGAGGGCGGGCCCCGCAGGGTGAACCATGCTGCAGTGGCTGTTGGGCACCGGGTGTACTCCTTCGGGGGTTACTGCTCTGGTGAAGACTATGAAACGCTGCGTCAGATTGATGTGCACATCTTCAATGCAGGTAAGCCAATGCTGGGGCTGTCCCTGGGTACCCACGTCAGGGAGGGCAACGGGTAGCTGAATGAGGTTTGGCGGTGGTCCCCGTGGCCAGAGGGGATGGGGGAATGAGTATCTGATTTGGGAAACGGTGAGCAGCCTGGAGGGAGCTTTCCAGGGCTGAGCAGATCTGTGCCCACAGTGTCCTTGCGTTGGACAAAGCTGCCCCCAGTGAGGCCCTCCATCCGTGGGCAGGCTGCTGTGGTACCCTACATGCGGTATGGACACTCGACCGTCCTCATCGACGACACGGTCTTCCTTTGGGGCGGGCGGAATGACACCGAAGGGGCCTGCAATGTGCTTTATGCCTTTGATGTCAGTGAGTATGGGTCGCAGAGAAGCTGTATTCTGCCAAATGATGCCTCAGGGACGGGGGCGGGGAAAGGTGTGGGCTGAGGCGGCTGGGAATAGGGCACCCCAGAGTCTAGGAGGGGGCGTCAGAGGTTGCTTACCTGGCCCATCTGCTTCTGTCTTTCAGATGCTCATAAGTGGTCCACACCCCGAGTGTCAGGAACAGTTCCTGGAGCCCGGGACGGACATTCAGCTTGTGTCCTGGGCAAGACCATGTACATTTTTGGGGGCTATGAGCAGCTGGTATGTCTGGGAGGAAAGTAGCGGTTTAGGGTGGGAATGAGAAAGAGAAAGAGAAATTGAGGGTGGTGCAATAGGAGGCTTTGACTTGTTCGCAGGTTTTGAGGGGACAAGTGGAGGGTCAGAGTGCCACTGATCCCATGTTTTATTCCTTTCTTCACTTCCTTTCTCTTCCCACTCAGGCGGACTGCTTTTCCAATGACATTCACAAGCTGGATACCAGCACCATGACATGGACCCTTATCTGTACAAAGGTCTCCCCTTTCTTCTTTCTCCCAGATCCTTACCCTCAGTTGAAGAAATCATAGGAAGCTGAGTGAGAGCAGATCCCCTCCTAGCCGCCATGTTGACCCCCTCCCTCTCATCTCTCTGCTCCTGCCCAGGGCAACCCTGCACGCTGGAGGGACTTCCACTCGGCTACAATGCTGGGCAGTCACATGTATGTCTTTGGGGGCCGTGCCGACCGCTTTGGGCCATTCCATTCCAACAACGAGATTTACTGCAACCGCATCCGTGTCTTTGACACCAGGACTGAGGCCTGGCTGGACTGTCCACCCACTCCGGTGCTACCCGAGGGCCGCCGGAGCCACTCAGCCTGTGAGTGTCTGTTTGTCCCTGTGGGGCCCCCCTTTCTGCCCGTTGTCCTCACACTCCACGTTCCTCTCTCCTTCCAGTTGGCTACAATGGGGAGCTGTACATCTTCGGTGGCTATAATGCAAGGCTGAACCGGCACTTCCATGACCTCTGGAAGTTTAACCCTGGTACAGAGCACTGCCTTTAGGGGGAAAACAAGGAGCAATTGATGGAGGAGGGAAAAAAAATCCTAAGAGGGTGGGGGTGGAGAGGATATCTGGACTGGGCAGGTATTAAACCTCCATATACACTTCTCTTCAGTGTCCTTTACCTGGAAGAAGATTGAACCGAAGGGGAAGGGGCCATGTCCCCGCCGGCGCCAGTGCTGCTGTATTGTTGGTGACAAGATTGTTCTCTTTGGGGGTACCAGGTTAGGAGGAAAGCGGGGAGGCCTCAAGGAAGGGCCCAAGTCTGTAACTGCATGGGAGGCATTTGAGCAAGAGGGTCTCATGGGTAGTCTTTCCTCTTTCCTTCATCTCTTTTTTGATCCCTACAGTCCATCTCCTGAGGAAGGTCTGGGAGATGAATTTGACCTCATAGATCATTCTGACTTACACATTTTGGACTTTAGTAAGTACATGTATTCCCAGAGTGCTACTGCCACAGGGTCCCTGGCTTTGGGTGGTGACATTCAGGACTGGACCCTTTCCTTGCCTCTGACCATCTCCCTCTCCGTGACTTCTCCTTTAAAGGCCCTAGTCTGAAGACTCTTTGTAAACTGGCCGTGATTCAGTATAACCTGGACCAGTCCTGTTTGCCCCATGACATCAGGTACAGTGAGTGGTTGGAGAGCAGGGCTTGGCTGAGGGTGAGTGGGCAGCACAGGCATGATCTGATGAGCTTGGTCTCAGTATAGAGGGGACGGGTTTTTGTTACGCTGGAGATGTAGTGTACTTGTGGAGAGTGAAAGGGAAGGAGATTCAATTCCGCCCCAATTATCAGTGGTAAATTATATGGGGGAAAAAAATATCTGGTGTTTCAAACCAAGTTCAGAAGCATCACTTCTTGAGTCCCGAGCCTATTCGGTTGTTTTTAGCATGCTGAGAAAGTTTGATTAAATTTTCAAAGTTAGCTGCGAAGTACCAACAGGTTTAGGAATCTTTGGATCACATTAGTTCCAGAATTAAGGGAGGTCCTTCTAGCTACTTCCTTTGAATTCCATTCTTAGGTCCAAATCAAGCACCAAAAGTTATTTGGTGTACAGTTGTGTTTTCCTGGGTCATTCTGGACACTTCCCTCTCCTTGTATCAGTTCAGTTTAACTCTTACTTGCTGAGAGGGTGTGTGTTCAGCATCTGGTGACACAGTGTACAAGGCATAAGGAGGTACTTGGTAAATCTTTGTAGAATGATAGAATTGTCAAAAAGAGGGGAAAAAAGGGATTTAATTTTTATGTGGTGGGAGGGGCAGGGAAGGCTTCTGGAAGCCTAGGAGAGCTGAGTCAGGCCCTTTAAAGGGATAGGAGTGGAGAGCAAAAACAGACATTCCTGGTTGGATCTGAGCAGAGGATGAAAGGTAGGTTGGTAAGTTTACTGAGCTGTGTACACAGATGATTTTTTCCAGGTGTTGGGCACAAGCATACATAAACATAGACAGGGGGCGCCTGGGTGGCTCAGTTGGTTAAGCGACTGCCTTCGGCCCAGGTCATGATCCTGGAGTCCCGGGATCGAGTCCCGCATGGGGCTCCCTGCTCAGCAGGGAGTCTGCTTCTCCCTCTCCCGCTCCCCCTCTTGTGCTCTTTCTCTCTCTCACTCTCTCTCTCAAATAAATAAATAAAATCTTTAAAATAAAAAATAAAATAAAATAAACATAGACAGGAAGTCCACATGAGGTTGCAGGTGGAGGAGTGGGTGATGCTGGATTTGGTGGTGGGTGGGGCCTGATTGTTAAACTTATTAGTAAGGCCCTAAGGAAGGAGGTGGCTGTGGGTGGTTGAGCTTTCAGATGTTGAAGGGACTGGTGTGTTCATAGCTTTGTTTGAGCAATTCTGGCCTTGGGGGTGGAGGCTCCCCCCCATCTGTCCTTTCTGCCT